TTGCGACATGCCACAAAACAGCAAACTCTGTGGCTTTCTCTGTTGGCTTTCCCCTGCGTAAAGGTTTGGTGCCTTTGTAGGTACAGTGACTGCAGGGGCCTTGGCTCCCTGTGAGGCTTGGACCCTGGTAACCTGCCACTTCAGTCATCTCCACTTTGAGACCAGTTTATTGTGCACAGTGCTTAATATGATACAAAAAATGCTATAACAGGATTCTCAGATGGCATTTGTGAAACACTTTTGGGTAGTCCATGTAAAAGCGTTACACAAATACCAAGTGTTCTTGAAAATTTGCACAAGACTTCTCAAGTGTCAAGAGCTATTGGTGGGATGGATTGAAGATCTGGCAATATTGGTGCCAGCCTCATGCATTCTCAGAGTGCACTCATGTTTCTGATTCATATTTCTCCATAAGGAAATAATTCACTGTGCTGAGGGTTGTGCTTTCTTTTCTGCACAGTCGTGCTTAGTGCTTCAGTGGAAGTAGAGGGACCACCATGATCGAGGATTGTACCTTTTCCATCCTCCTCTGGCTGAAAATGTTAGTGTTGAGAGGGAAAGTGTCCAGTTCCTGTCCTGAGAAACAGCATTTTTTGACAATATCTTGTAGCAATTAGCGGCATAAAAGCCTAAATTTTGTGCTGGGTTTACAAAAAGTAAACTGCTTTTCCACCAAGGTAGGTTGTTCTATGCTTGTTTCAGTTGTGTGTCTCATGCTTTACTTTGATTGGGTGCCTCCTTTTCAGCATTGCACATAGGACGGTGGAGGCTGCTGAGAAAATTCAGTTTGTGCTGGGGTGAGAACAGGTGCAGGGAAAGGGCAGGTGCTGGGGAGAGGGAAGGAAATGGGAGAAGAAGAGAAATGCCCCGTGTAAGTCTGTGGGGAAAGCAGGAGAGGGTAGCTGTGGGAGGAGGAGGAAGGCTGGAGAGAGGAGGACTGGAGAGAAGAAATTGGAGGGGGTTGGGGCAGTTGCAGGCACTGGTGTTGCAACACTGAAACTGGGAGCAGGCTTCTACAAAATCTGTTCTGGAGTTTCTGCTTTTCTCAGCAGAAACTGAACTGGGAGGCTCTGGCATGGAGACAGAAACGAGGAGCCTGTGCAGGATTGGGCAGTGCTGATGAGGGTGGGTGGAGGCTTGGACGAGTCATCCTATGGTTTTGTGTCCTGCAGGAGACACAGCAATTTTTTGTGTTATGTAGAGAGGTGCTAGAGTTGTTGAGGATAAGTATGTGAGGTTGAAACTAGTAAATCCTGGTGGAAGCAGAGGTTGGCTTTGGCACTGTGGTGGCGTTGCTGTTTCCGTTCATCCAGGCGCTTGTTAGTGGTGAGGTGAGACTGAAATCTGGAAAACCACCTCAGCTCATTGTGTACATGTACCACGCTTGGGCTGGCCTTACATGGTTTTCAGTGGAGGCTTCATTTTGGAACCAAAGGAAGTTTATGGCTCTTGAGGACGCAGTTTAGTGACAGCCTTGGCAGTGTTAAATTAACAACTGGACTCAATAGTCTTGCAGGACATTTCATCCTCAATGATTCCGAGAGAGTCCACTGGCCATTTCTGCCCCTGCTGGGCACTGGGGACTGCAATGGCCCGTGGAGGGCTTGCCTGGAAAACACCCATCTAGGCATCTGCAGGTCGGTGCTCTCTTCCCATCCGACTTGCCCAGAGATCCAAGGACAGCAGGCATGAGGGATTGCCCAGCAGGGATTTGGCAGACTGACAGGTCCATCGAGCACATGCCCAGGCACTGCACACACTACTCAGGCGTTGCTTTTGTTCAGCCTGCTACCTCTGACTAAGAAACAATATTAAAAACATCTCCAGCAGCAAGCATGGGCAGTGTTCTGTGCTGCTGCTCCATGGGGTTTTGCTGTTCACTATGGGCACGTGTGTGTGCGTGACTGTGCGCACGGGCGTGATTTACTGGCCTGTGCAGTGCCACATGTCTTTAAAATTATAGTGCCCGTTTCCTGCTGAAATAATTTCTACATAGAGAGGCTCCTATTATAGCAAGAGGAGCTTGGACGTCATGATTTATTATTATTTATGGTCCCAGGGTCTTGTTTATGCACGATGGGTTAGGTGCTCAGGATAGAAATGCCATTATGCAAATGACATTGAATGTCCTTACTGAGCCTAAATAATTTTTGTGTTGGACGATTAAACCTCATCTGTTATTGATATGGGCTGCAGTCGGGCTATTAAAGAGTCCCAACAGTACTTACTCCCAGTAATGGGAAAATTGAGAGGAAGAGGCTAAACAATTGCCTCAAGTGTGCTGTGATTGTCTGGTAGGAGTGGAACATAACGAACCCCCTGAATGGAAATCGTGTTTACTACTTAGGGATAAATAAAAAGAGAGAACATGCAATAAATTGTGCTTTGTGATCTGAATTGGCGCACCAGAGAATTTGCGTACTTTCAATTTACTTATTTATTTGATTTTTTTTTTTTTTCAGGGGTGGAGGGGGCAGTGTGATTGGGATGTAGATACTGCAGGAAGCCGGGAAGGATTCCTGCAGAGTGTGCCCCTGGCTGAGTGGCTGGGGAGAGCTGTCCTCGGAGCTGCGCCGGTGCTGCGCTGTCCGCTTTGACACAGCTGTGCAGTCACATTTTGATCAGTGTTGATAGCTTATGAATTCCAAAATTGACAAAATTTACAGAAAAATGAGGATAATCCATCTTCCTTAGCAGCCTGTCAGGAGCTGGCTATACTTCATAATCTTCAATTACAGATGCTATTTTCAGACATTTACATGCAGATATTAGAACAAAATGAAAATGAGAAACAAAGAGTGAATGGAAATGCAGCTATTTATATGTATAAAAGAAAAAACAACAGGTAAATTCTTGGCATTTAGATTGGATTTGAGTGTCCCTTTGGAAAATCTGAGAATATCTGCACCCACTTATGAATTGTACTGTGGAAATGTAAAATGTAGTATATCATTTCCCTTATGCAGATAATGTGAAGATTGGGTCAAAAACAGGTCAGTTATTTTGAAGTATGAGGGTAAATGTGTTCATGGCAGGGTGCACAAGCTAATTCTCACTGCCTTCAAAGGAATGTCTGGGGATGTGTACAATCCTAATTGGATTTGGGCTAAAATGAAGCACAGCTGTTAACTTTTTATAAACATATATGTTTTGTGAAAGGGAGGTTCAGAAATACCCACTTTAAACTTAGGGAAAAGGGTTGAAACCAAACTTCCACATTCTGTGAGGCAGCACTGAGCTCAATGTGGCTGAAAACAAAGAGAAGCTAGGGTTTGGTCCCAGTTAGACGTGTAAATAACATTTGTTCCAAAGTAGGATTGGGTTTGGTGTCAGCAGTGCTCAGTGCAGGGAATATCATGTAAATTATTAAATGGGGTGGTGTTTGGAAGGCAGCAGTGGTGAGACTTTGATGTATAGGTTTCCAGGAGCCTTTCCTACCCATATCTTGGGTGGCTGAGTAGGAGGGCATTAGGCTGGGTTTTCCATTCCCATGAAATTCCAGGCAGAGCAGCAGTGGTGCCTGCAGCTGCAAGCGCTGCTGGGTTTCTGAAAGCCTGGGGAGATTAATTACAGCTGCTTTGGATTAAACTCTTCGAACCATATCTAACATTACAAATTTTTTCCCTTTGTCAGACTGCTGTGTGGGTTTCTGTGGACAGCCTGCCTGGCATGTGCCACTTTTGCCTCTATTTATTAATTAATTTAAAAATACTAAGATGTGATAACTTGGAGATATTTGTTGTGAGGTCTGGCTTGCTGCTGCCATCAGGGATACCAGGGGGTGTGGTGGATGTGATTTGGGGGACAACATTGTGCCTTTCAGGGACCTCAGTGTTTTCTTTGGCAATGAAGGCTCTTGAGGCACCACCTCTGTCAGGAAGGAAGGCAGAGCACATGGTCAGTGAGGAGGCAGACTAAGCCCTGAAACCCCAAGCTGGCACCTTGCACTGATGGTCTCAGCTCCTGTTGAGCTGCTGCTGCTGCTGCTGCATCCTGAGCAGCGCCGTGGGCCTGGGGGCAGCTGTGCTGGTGGCAGGAGAACACAGAAGGTATTATTTCATGCCTGCCTGATGTTCTGATTTGGAATATATAGCAGATGCAAAAAAGCAACATGTGCAAGTCCCAGTGGACCCCAGCTGGCTCATTTTAATGGCCATTTGCCCTGTGCAGCAGACAGCTCTTCTCTGTCTTTGCTTGGTGCAGTCTCTTCAGCAGCATTGTGAGGTCTGTGCCCCACAAAAGGGATGAGGCGAAAAAGGGATACATTTGTCTCACACCTTATGGGTTGCAGCACTGCTGCAGGGCTCATTCCAGCCTTGTAGCTCCCTGAGATTCCCACATTGGTACCTAAAAACCAGGCTGTTTCAGGGAGCAGCCTTGTTCCCTGCTGGGTGTCCATCTTTTCCTGACACTTTAGGATAAAATCCCACATAAATATCAAAGAAACAATTTCTGTACACAGAGGGTAGGTTGACTTTTCGGTGTGTTACATTCATTCATCTTCACCAGAAATAGTGCAGGGCGAAGCTGGTTGTGATCTGCCTCTCTGCTTTACTGTAGTGCAGCAGGTTTGAAAACAGTTAGGAAACTCTCCTGCACCCTTTTTCTTACCATTTGCCTATCACAATCATCACTCCAAGGGATTAATAGTGAGAAATAAAGCTTTTGTAACGGAGGTAGATTCAAAACTTTACTTAGAGCAGAAACCTTCCTGTTTGCACTTTGCAGAGATGTCTAATGCGGAGGGACTGTGCAGACCCTGCTGCTGCAAGAGAGCTTGTGCTGCTGCTAACAGGCACACAGAGATTACTCCTCTCCTCCCCATTGCAGCCACTCCCCCCAGCTCCGTCCGCCAGAGCCGAGCCAGAGCAGAGTAGGATAAGGCAGGGGAACACACAAGATGTGGTCTTGCCCCTCCTTTCAGTTTGTCCTTCTCAGTCTCTCTTTTATATATACCTCGTTTCACATGTCTGTGTTTTCTCTCCTCCATGCTATGGCAGTGGTGCTCCATGCTGATGAGACAGTGCGTGGTACAACCGCAGGCAGTCATTTTTCAGGTAATTTCTAGGGTAATGAACACCCGTCTCTTGCTTTTTCACCTACCAAGCAGAAGGTCAGGCTTGCTGGCTGCACAAGGAGGGATCCCTGGCCATGATGGTCATTCTGGGCTGTTTCTCACCAGCAGCAGTGAGAGCACACTAGTGCAGGAGCCAAATCAGAGATCCCTTCTGCTGCTCCCACTCCAATTAGCTGGAGAAGCTCTTGGGAAGGTCAGCAGAAGGGTTCAGCAGAGGGGTCTCAGTGAGGCCACGGGGTGAGGGGCTGCTCCATGAGTGCTGCCTTTCCCTGGGGTTTCCTTTCCTCTCCGGATGGGATGCCTGAAAGGAAGAGATCTGCCTGGGGGGAATGGGAAGAGGGGTCACCACTGTACCCCTCATGAATGGTTCAACACCAAACACCGTGACTCCGCAGTGTTAGAGAGGTTTTTGCTTTTTCAGGGGGTTCTAGAGTTTCCTGTAGGCAGTACCCATAGTGTGGTTTTAGGGTGAAGGCTCCTCTGCTCTGCAGTCCTGATGCCCCACTCCTTGGGGGCCAGAAGATGCCTCTGCTGACCATCACCTCTCTGCAGTGCCTTGCTGTTGGCAGCACTGTTTCCTTTTCTGCCCACAGGCAAGTGCTGGTCACTGCCACTCTGCCAGCCCAGTGCTGGCCCTGACCCTCCTGCTTTGAGGTGCAAACTATAACTGCAGAGGTGGATGTGATGTGATGGGGTTGCTCTTCCACTGGGAATGCATGATGAGAGGGGAGTCAGCAATCAGAAGGGCTGCCCGTCAGCCTGCACTTCTGCCTCAGTGCTGGAAGCAGTGGTCAGTGCTTGCTCCTTGTGGCTGTTAGTGTTCAGCTGATGATCATTCCAATAAAGGATCTAGGCACAGCAAAGTAGTTGGGAAATCCCTTAAAACCAGAAAATCCCTTAAAATCCCTCTATTCTTACCTCTGGGAAAAGTTGCTGGGCCACGACAAAAGACATGCAGCTCCCATCTGCAGGAAGTTATTTGGACCAAAAGCAGGGAAGGACCCCAAATCTCCATTTTGCACATCTTCAGCTCATTCCTACCACAGTGCTGCTCGTCTATGGGCTCTTCATCCACATTGTGCTGAGCAACTGTAATGCTTCCAGTCCCTCCTGCAGATGTTCCGTGGTTTGCGACTGTGCCACTGTATATTGCACCAACTCACTATGGTGCAGTGACATGGAAGAGCACAGGCCACCTGTGTTGTGACTCCTGCCAGGTTATGCTACACTCTGGTTGCTGTTTGGTTGACACTAGAAATGGTCACTTTCTCCAAGCTCAGAGAGCTACTCATGACTAATTTGCATGGTGCTTCCAGGTCTTTCCAGGTTAAAAGTCTTAACTCTGGTCCCATTTCTCCCAGGGTCAGTTCCTTGGACTCCTGAAGGGAAGCAAGCTATGGAGTTATGTATTCCTGTGTCTGAGAATTGCAGTTGAGGGCTTAGGCTGGTTCCAGTTGGGTTTGTAGTTTGGGATGTGCACCTCCTTCCTCAGCCCCGACATGTGACCCTGCCCACGGCAAGGGTCCCATTCCAGCTAGGTGCTTCCTCCCAAACTACATGTGTGCAAGTCTCACTTTGTAATTGGGAAACCATATTCACTCTCTGCCTCTTGGGAGGGGTGGATCTTCCTCATGGGAGGATCCAAAGGGATTTTCTAGTCTTCATGTGGTGTGGTTATGGCTTTCATAGAGCAACATAGGTGAATTCAGGCATCCCTCCCCAGGGATTTGTGTGTGCTCTTCTAGAGATACCAGAAATTCCAAACATCAGCACACAAGGACAGGTTTTTCCTCTGCTGTGCTGCCAGCCCATCCATGCTTGTGCATCCCCAGTTGCTTGGGATGTCTCTGCAGGGCTATTGTTTCTCTAATGTTTTGCCAGATTAGGGTTTTGGGGAAAGAAAAAATCTAGCAGTGCCTCCATATGTGCATGTACCCTGCATAGGGGAGAGGTGGGGTTAGAGACTCAGGAAAACATGGAATAGTGTGGGAAGGCTGAGAAATCCATTATAGTGGTGTGCTGAATGAGAAGAAGGAGCTTTGATTACACTTGCAGGAAGAAGGAAGGCTGGGGCCATTATCATTGTCCTCTGCAGAGGAGGGAGGTTCCCAAGGCTGTCCTCTCCCAGGAGCAGAAGTGGGGATGAGTCAGAGGTGTGGGAGTCTTTGAAGCAGTGATGGTAGACAAAACGGCCTAGCTGAATGATGGCAAGGCAAAAGTGAGGTTACAGAGGGTGTTGGAGGAGGCATGAGCTGAAAGAACTGAGGAACAGTACAACTTTAATGCAAAGGTTATGTAGAGGAACAGTACAACTTTAATGCAAAGGTTATGTAGGATCCTAGGAGACAAGTCAGAGGACTCTGATGCATGGGCTGGGTGCAGGACAAGGGTGGCCAGCAGCTAGTCCCTGGTAAAATGTATTTAGCTTGCTCATCTGCAAGAGGGATCCTTCAAGGTGACAGGCTGTACTCCTAACTCATGCAAATGGTGTCTGCAGAAAAAACATGTTTATTACACAGAACTGTTAATACAGGATTATCCATGTGAATGACCTTCTGTTTGAGTGAGACCTGAGCTACGGAGATACCAGCATGTATTCCTGGCTAAGGTACTGAGTTAATTGCAAGCACGAGATTATGTGCTGGGTTGTCAGAGAAACTTGTGGGAAGGAGGAAGATGTATTCACTCAGATCAGCTTTTGTTTCCTTAAAAAAAAGTTAACTTATTTTGATGTCACACCCCTGGAGCTGTACAAGGCCTGGTTGGATGGGGCCTTGAACAGCCTGGTCTAGGTCCCAGCATGGTAGAGGGCACGTATAATAAGTTGGTCTTTAAGGTACCTTCCAGTCCGAAACAGTCTGGGATTCTGTGTTTTTCTGAGTTTTGTTTTGGTTACTCCAAAAAACCCCCATGTGATCCTGGGTTCATCTGCATTTCTTCATCTCTGCACGGCTTCTGCATTGACTTAATCTTCAGGAGTTCATTAGAGACTGGCATTACAGTGGCTGCTCTTCAGTTTACCTGTTCCCACTGTAGTTTTTTATTTGAAGTCAATCTCCAGTTGATATGGGCATGACTGCTGTTTCACAAATAAGGGATTAAAACTTAAAGGGCAGATAGCAGGGAACAGAGAACTTTGAAAGAAAACTTCACAGATTCATGGGAATGATCCTGACAGTAAGAAATCATTGAAAAAGGGCAAATGAAGATAAGCTTTCTTCCATATTCATATACATCCTTTAGATACATGCATTGGCCTCATTGACTATAAATGCAGAACGCTGTAGCAATGGAGACTTAAACAGGTTTATAGGATACAAACACTCTGATTTCTGAGATCTGTGCTTGCTTACCATAGCCTCTTTCAGGTAATGAGATTAGGAAATTATTTGGAAATGGCACAGTGTTCTTACTACAGTCAGGTGCTTTATTTTTAAATAACTTGGATTTAGAAACAGTTACCTACAAATGCATCCATTAAGTAAACTCTTTGTATATACATACCGTTTTCCTGTATGCAAGAAATACAACATTCCTAAGAAAAGGAAAATGGAAAACCTGTTCCCACCTTCTCATTAGTGCATGTCCCCTCAAGTGCCAGCCCTGAAATATGGAGAGTGTGGAGGTTAAGAGGCATGAACATTTTCCTAACAAGAAAGTAGCTTGCACTTGGCAGGTAATCTACAAATTTTCCTCTTTCAGGAAAGCCTTGTTACATATTAATGAGTTTGTCTTTGGTTTTATAAAGAAAACCTATTTTTGTGTTCTCTGAGAACACTGGTGATAAGCACAGACCCACTTATTGAACAGTTTGAATGTTGAAAAGCCAGTGTAAATGAGCAGTGCCTTTAACACTGGCTTAACAAAGGATTTTTGAGTTCTGTATTGCATCTACTTTCTGTTGGCACAGGCAAAAAAAAGCTCTTGATTAGTGAATTTATTTCCACTAAAATGTCTTTTGTTTCTTTTTCCAGGCAACAGAATACTCAGCCATGGCCTCACTAGCTGGTGGATTGGATGACATGAAGGCCAATATAACCAGCCCTACTTCAGCAGATTTGGGAGCAAGTGTTCCTGGGCCTCAGTCCTATCCTATTGTCACAGGTAAATGATTTTCAAACACTGGTAAGTAGTGTGAATTGTCTGTACCTTCATATTGCATGATGAGGTCCTTTATGGAAGAATTGTGTCATATGTGGAGTAATTTGCTCAAAAAGTCTCTTTTCGAATGTGATTTCATAGGAGCTCTTGTTGAAAGAGAGCTGAATGGCTTGTGTAAATGGTTTGTGTATGTTTGTAGCTGACAGATGGAGCCTCCATCCCTCTTGTTCAGGAAAGGATGTGCCCCTCCACCCCAAAAGTACATCTTGAATACCACCGCATCACTGAAAAGCAGAATGCTTGCCTCTGCTTTTGGGCTTTGGAGCTATTTTTTCATAAATGCACCTGGTATGTTTGACTGGATGGAGTTTTTATGACAGTTCAAACTAGCCTAAATTTTGGAAGCTCATTTTATACCATTTCTGAATTGTACCCGTGCACTAAAGTTGAGCATTTAAATGAAAACCAAAGGCTGTTTGCTGAAGGAATGACAAATCATCTGCATTTATTCAGCAGCTGTAGAGCAAGAGTTAAGGAACAGCTAAGGTCTCATAAATGCTTTGGTCACCTATTTATTTGGGACTGACCCCATTGCTTGCAAGGAAATTGGCCAAATGGTAAGCTAATTATTAAATTGTATCCCAAATTAGTTGTGCAAGTCAGAAAAAAGGAGGGCTTTTAAAATTTAAGGCTCTGTGTTTCATAGGAATGTTAGCTCAGTGTGTTACTTCTATGTCTAATTGGTGCAAATTTCATTGGATTTTCTCTGTTTTGACAAAGATTGGATGTAATGCTTTATTTTGTAGCTATTGTGGAAGATTATACTGTTTTTTATAAAGTATTACTATGTCTTTAATGCCTTAAAATCTCATCCCGCAGAGGAGAAGTTTTGAAAACAAGTGTTGTTACAAAGTTGTTTTAACTCAGTAAAGTATCAGTCTTCAGCTTTTCTTGACAAAGTTTAGGAGAATTCAGAAGAGATTGGAGAGTGAAAGAAATACATGTGTACCTTGAAGGGGGATGGGAGAGACTTCTTTCAATATCTGTCTGGTTCTGAATGGGTGGTTTGAGTGTTGGACTCATAGATAAGAAATGAGTCTAGGGATGGATGGATGGATGGATGGATGGATGGATGGATGGATGGATGGATGGACAGAAAGAGGGACTCCTGGAGGTGTGTGGCTTGTAAGATGTAAGGAGATATAGCATTGACACAAATATATCTATATGTCCATCAGGGGTCTGTGCTGGAACCAGTGTTATCTAACATATTCATCAGTGACACAGACAGAGGGACCATGGGCACCCTCAGCAGATTTGCAGGTGACACCAGGCTGAGAGTGCCATGACACCCCCGAAAGACAGAGACATCCAAGAGGGACTTGGAAAATGCCTAGAAGTGGCCGATGGGAATCTCAAAAAGGCCAGATGCTGATGCTGCACCTGGGTTGGGGCTACTTCCAGGATTGATCCAGCCAGAGGACAAACAGACTCAGAGCAGCCCTGGGAGGAGGGCTTGGGGTGCTGGTGGGTGAGAGCTGTCCCTGCCCTGGCCGTGTATGCTGGCAGCCAGAAATGCCCTGTGCTGGCCTGACCCCAGTGTGGGCAGCAGGGCAGGCAGGGGCCATTCTGCCCCTCTGCCCTGCTCAGGTGAGACCCCACCTGCAGAGCTGCCTCCAGCCCTCAGGCCCAGCACAGGGAGGATGTGGAGCTGCTGCAGCCGGGCCAGAGGAGGCATCCTGTTTGATCAGAGGGCTGGAACACCTCTGCTATGAGGAAAGGCTGACAGAGCTGGAATTTTTCAGGCTGGAGAAAGGAAGGCTTTGGGGTGACCTAACTATAGCCTCTGTCATCTTCTAAGGGACTGCTCATCCAGGATTTACACCTGGCCAAAATGAGGTTCAGCCAAAAGCTGTTTTGGCTGGTAGTTCTTTCTTTACCGTGGTTTAAGCACTTCTTATATGTCTCACATTGCTACTTAGAGTGTTGAGAGCTGATTGATCACATTTGTTAGAGTAAAACCTATTACAGAGGTGATGCTGCAGAATTCAATATGGATTTCATAGAGGTTCTCCCTGTGATGTTACCGACACTTGAGCAAAGGTTCCAAATATTAAATTTGCTAGTTCTCCTCAAAAATATGGAGTGGGCTTTATGAACAGCAGGTTCTAGAAAAAAACCTGCCATTAGTCTTAAATATGCCAGAGTGACAGCTACAACAGAACACATTTTTCAAGACATTGGGTATTTATATCGTTAATTTGAAAGTGCTGTAGAGTTTTCTATCAACAGCATTCATAAAATGAAGATTTACATGAGCATATCAGGAGTCTTCTAAAACCTATGCCTTTTGATAGGTTTGTGGAGGAAATTGTCTATCTGCTATACTTTCATATTCTCTTTCTAATAGCCATAGGAATTGTTTTGTGCTGGTCATGCACTGGAAGCACCCAGAACTCCTCATCACAGTCTGGGCCTGTACTGTATGCCTGAGTCATGGTGCCTGCTCTGAGGCTTCCTGAGGAGCTGAAAGGGCTGTGCAGGCTGTCAGGAGCAGGAAGGATTCAGTAGCAAGCTATACTTTGTAATGTGCAAGGCATGTCCATTACAGTACACTTGCTGGTACATTTCCCACTGTAGTTCTGGACAGATTCCTCTATTTTCTTCTGTAATAGAAGTAATATTTTCAGTTACAACTCTTTACCCAGCCTGTTTCCTTTGTGGGACAGGGAATTTGGAAAAGGAGACACATTTCTTGACCTTATTTCCCTTGTAAGCATAAGGTGCATATTGCCATGGGACCTTAATCTGTGGTAGGTATCTCTGAAAATCAGGAGCTGGGAAATGGTGCACAACAGTGGTTATAAGTACTAGGCCCAACAAATGTCAGCAAGAACACCACCTATTCTGCCTTCTCAGAGCTTTTTTTGTGGTCTGTGGCCTGACCAAAGCTGTGGTAAAATCCAGTTATTGGTTTAGTGTTCTGTGGCTGGGATGGGCAGGGGATGATAGGCTATCAATAAGGTAACAATCTCTGGAGAAAGGTCAGCTTTGTGTCAGCCCCTCTTCAGTGGTAATGCCCTTATTCATCAGAGAAATCCTGCCAGAACCACCTCCTGGTCCTTGCTCCCCTCAATTCAGAAGAGCCTAAGCCTTACAGATCTGTGATGGCATTTTCAATGTGAACTGCTCCTTACTGGAGGAGGAATGGCCAGCCTTACCTCTGGTCTTCTCTTGACATTCAGGAAGTTGCATTGCTTTTAATTTATTAGCTTTTTTTTGAGTGCTTCTACTCTTCCTTGTTTCATAGAGGCTGTCCCTTGATGTGTGTGAACAAACTCAGAGAATGAACTTGAAAGCCTTGGGGGCAACATATTTTAGTATGCTAGGCAGTGTGTTTTCCACTGTAAAAGTGAGGGTTAATTGGATAAAAGTCCAGCAAATGTCCTAAGTCTGTGTTTGGTGCTATTATGCCTTAAGGTCGATCTCACTTCTGTGTTGACATTCCAGATTATAAACAATTTTGTAACAGCTTCAGTATAATGAGACCAAGAGCTGCTTAAAACACTGCCAAATGAGTTATGGTATCCAGAGCAGCATTGGTGGGAAACATCTCTTCTACCGGGAACTCTTCTGGTTGTGTGTGTGGAGCAGAGCTGTGAACACAATGTGTGATATTTCAACACAGAATGGGGCTATTGTAAGGCTGAAAAGTGGGTAAATAACTTAAAATATGAAAACCATGGGTTCGAGCCAGGAACACTTGTGTCTTTCTATAGCTGTATCTGCTGTTCAAGCTTAATCTTTATGAGAAGTTCTGAAGTAGTTTGGGGAACTTAGTCTCTTTCATGGTGTCAGTCTTAAATATGTAAGATTATAAAATAATTTATTGGAAATATGTCTGAGAACAGAACTATGATTACAGTTTTTCATTGCTCTTGTTACTAGGTTGTGGTGTGGATGGCAAAGCATTGTTGAGATTTAAGATGGCGAAGATCCTCTGTGCAGTTGTTCATGGAAAATGTAACATTTTTCTCTCTTAGCCAGCTGGCAGATCCAAACATGGGATAGATCTTGAAAATTAAAGGATTGCTTAAACGTTGACACTCATGCTAGTACTTGCTGCTAAGGAGAAATGTAGTCACAGCTCTCAGTACCACTTCATCCACCACCTCTGTTGTGCTGTGGATCACCAGCGAAATCTCTGATTAGAGAACCATTTGCTTTCTTTGCATTGTTTTTATGCCACATTATACAGTAAGTTTAAAAAAACCCTTCAGTCACTTCATGCTGCCACAGCCTCTCCATTTACAAGCCAATGACATAGACCCAGCACATTGCTGCTGTTGTCAGCAGTTTCCAAGCAGCAGTGATTGTTACTAATTATCTCCAGATGCATTTTTCCTGCTTTGACTTGCTGATTTCAGCATGGTTGGTGTCACTTTGAGAGGATAAAGCCACGTTAAACTGATATCTTTATATGGCTCTCCAAGGCTGCGCTGGGGGTGGATTGATGAACCCGCAGCAGCCTGGCTGTGTCCAGCAGCAGGGTCAGTATGTTCTTACAGAGCCAGGAGTGGCTGTTGACCAGGCTCACCTCACCCAGGGGCAGAGAAGCATCATTTACTGCACTGGGCTGTGATGGGAACGCTGTATCACTCCATTAAAAGAAGTGTCACAGGGCACAGTTTTGTCAGTGGGCTTTTTGTCTAGCAAATGATGGAGTAGAGGAGCCTGGTCTTCTTCCATGCTGGGACATCTCTATCACCCTTGGCTCAACTGCTCTTCCTCACATGCAGGGAGACCAAGACTCTGCCAAGTATGGACAAGTTATGTCTTATCTTCTGCATTCAAACTTGCAGCCACAGCTTGTAGTGTTAAGTTCCTTGCTTCTTTTTGTGGTCAGCCTTGTAGACAATGGCTCTGGAGAGCCAAATCCATGGACTTTGCTGCCTATTTTGTATGCACATCAAAAGGGTGAGAAAAAGAGAACAAGAGCAGGA